ATGGTGACAAGTGGGTACTTAAAATGTCAGGGGACCTCTTTATAAAGTATATGATTATCTAACCACTGTGCTGTATACCTGAAACTAATATAAAATAATATTGAATATAAACTGCAATTGAAAAGTAAAAATTTAATTGAGGGGAAATTCTGTGAGGCTTTACATTAATTCAGAAATTTTGTAAGTTCAGTTGGAATTTGCTGAAAATAAGTGAAATGTAGCTTAGTTTCTCCAAAGATGGAAAGTTTTTACATGTCAGCTATTATATTTTCTGTATTAATATTTATAGTCTATTTCAAACCACAAAGAAACTTTGACAAAATGTAAGCCAGAATGACATCCCCCTGGAGAACACTGACTGAACAACAATATATAGACCAGATTGCGTTTCTGAGAACTTCAGAAACCATTTAAGAGATTACAGCACTCCAGGCAAGTGCAAGGCCAAGAAGAGTTTCATTATAGTGGGTAGGAAAGCTCATTGACTTACCTGCTATACCTTATCCCATTCCTGACACAGCACAGCAAAGGCCTGATCAAGAGAAAATTTTCAACTTATGGCTTCTCCTTCAGGTGGGAAAGTAGGATAAAATGTGTAACCAGCATTCTGCCCAGAGACTGTTTTTTGTCTCACCTAATTCTTGAAGCACTGATAGCACCCATGGATGCCTGTGGCCCTGCTGAAAACAAAGGTAAGGGCTATGGCTTGCTGCAGCACCAGAGACTGCAGTACTCCAGGCATACACCAGGGGAGCTCCTGAATCGAAACAGGCATACCTCTTCAGCTCTGAAATTACTGTTCACACATACAAACCCAGAAGAGACACATCAACAAAAAAGGTTTGGGGGACCCCAAAATTTCTAGCTAGATTGATTGGAGAATATCTTTTTTTTAAAATACATTTTATTGACTTTTTACAGAGAGGAAGGGAGAGGGATAGAGAGCTAGAAACATCGATGAGAGAGAAACGTCGATCAGCTGCCTCCTGCACACCCCCTACTGGGGATGTGCCCGCAACCAAGGTACATTCCCTTGACCAGAATCGAACCTGGGACCTTTCAGTCTGCAGGCCGACGCTCTGTCCATAGCCAAACTGTTTAGGGCTGAAGATCTTTTCTGTACAAAACTAATTTATAAAGAGTAACAGTGTTAGCTATATTTTCAAAAGCCCAAATTTAAACAGAAAATAATGCGTACAAATAAATGGGAAGACATTGGCCTGATCAAAGGAACAAAATAAATCTCTAGAAACTGACCCTAAAGAAAGGGAGATGATTAGTTATTTGTCAAAGAATTTAAAATAACGATCCTATAGATGCTCAGTGAGCTAAAAGAGAATACAGACAATTAAATGAAATCAGGAAAATTATGTATGAACAAAGTCAAACTATAAAAGAACCAAACAGAAATTCAGAAGCTGAAGAATATAATAATGGTCGTGAAAAATTCACTAGAAGGGATCAACAGCAGGCTGGATCAAGCAGAAGAAAGAACTGGCAGACTTAAAGACAAGCTATTTGAATTGTCAAGTCAGAGGAACAAAAGAAAAAAGAATTAAGAGACCCTAAGGGACTTATGGGACACTGTCAAACTGACCAACGTACAGACGTCTAGGAATGAAGAACTGTGTTTTACCTCATACTCAAAATACCTCTGACACCACAAGTGGGGACTTTTCCCCCCACGCTGACCAATTCTCTGACAGCCAGTAGTCTTACATTTCATCCATAAGTAGTGGGTCACAAGGTAACCCACAACTTCTGTCATACTTAGCTATAAGTTGGAGGTTCTCATGAAGTAAAAATACCCTACTTAGTAAAAATAGTTTGCTAGAGTGGCTCACAAAACCCAGGAAAACATTTTACTTACTAGAGGTATCCCCTGCTTTCTAAAAGTTTCCATTAGGCCACTTCACTTTTCTTCACTTACATTAGTACCTGTTTTCATTAACTAAAAGACATTTGTAAAGGATTTTTCCTTTTACAAAAAACGTCAGTACTATACTAATGTTGGTCTTTTGTAAAAGCAAAGTGGTGTAATGTGAACTGTTGATAAGTGGAGGTACCGTTTGTTTTAAGCCATTTTGGCTTACAAAAGATTTCATAGGAACTCTTTACTTGGGATAGTAGGGAAAACCTGTATTCCTGATGTATTACAAAGGATATTTTAAAGGAGACTGATGACCAGGCAGATGAAGAGATATATAGGGTGTAATCTGGAAGGTTCCTGAGAGCAGGAGCTTCTGTCCCCATGACGTTGGGGTGTGCCACCCTCCTGACATGTAGATGTGTTCGCCAACCTGGAAACTCCTCAACTTCATGCTTTTAGGATTTTTATGCAGGTTTTATCATGGAGGCATCGATTATTAAATCACTTTCCACCCCTCTCCAGATAATTGGGGGTAGGTCTGAAAGTACCACACTTCTAATTATGGTTTGGTCTTTCTGGCAACCATCTCCTTTCTGGAGATCCACTAAAAGTTTCCTCATTAGAGCAAAAGATGCTACTATCACCCAGAAAATTCCAGTGGATTTAGGAGCTCTGTCAGATGTTCCTATCACTTAGGACATCATAAGGGTTTTAGGAGAGCTGTATCAGGAACTGGGGGTTGAGGTGGGGTGGGCAAAGGCCAGATTTTAGAACAAAAGATGCTCCTAGCACTCCTAAATACAAGGATTTTAGGAAATTGTGTCAGGAACTAGGGACCGAGATTATATCATTTATAAGCTGCAGTGCTGGGATGTTAAGCAATTCTTTTAAGCCGCCAAACTCATGCTCTTAACCCCCACTGCATTTTATTACTACACTGTTCTCATTATTTCCCCTCACCTAGTCTGCCAGTGCAAGTTTCTTATTCTGCTCCTATATTCTTCATGTTTTGACTTTGGTCTCCTTGATTT